ATAACTAATACAAAAGTTAAAAAATACATATGTCCATCTTTTCAATGCACATTAGTAGATTATTTGGATAAAAATCGTGATTAGAAAAATATGTTAATTAATTGAAAGGTAAGAGTGATATGTGACGAGAAAAAATTTGAGAATATAAAAGCAAAATTAACGTATATTGGAAACTTTTCTTGTAATTAAAATGCAGTGCAAATATAAAAAATTGTGTTGTGAATATAATTACCCTTCAACTATATTTTCTACAAGGAAAGTGATCTATAATTTGTGACAAACAAAAACGAAAGTAAGCTTATCTTCATGGAATGGAAGGGGTAATTATTTTAGACTTCCATTGTCCTTTAATCTATTTTCAGTTATTATTATATTATTTCTAGGAAGTCACCATTATCATGTATCATTTTTTTTTATTTATCTCTCTAAATTCATCTCTATTAAGAATTTTAATTTTATAAAAAGTATTATATTCATCCACATTCTATTTCAACATTAATCTTATTAAATTCATTGTTTAAATATTACATATCCACACTATTTTTTATGTATCCATATATAAATTTATCCATATTATAATTTTAGTTTTAAAAAATACTATATTTATTCCCAATACTTCAACCTTATTTTAGTCATTCGAATATACCCGTTAGTGTCTATTTGGGAGGCATTTGTATCTAATTTTTAGAAGAAATCATGTCGTTATACAATACCATGTCAGTGAAGAAGAGCCACAATGTTGGACTGAAATGATTGAAATTAACAATGTGCCCCCATTTAATTTAATTCACTCATCTTTACAAAAGGGCTTTTTTTGGCATAAAAGTGAATTTTGTGTTAGCAATCACTGCACAAAGGGTCCCACTGACATATCAAATGATCAAAAAGGGGGTTAAAATATGGTAAAAATGAGGCACATGTGCCCTCTTCTTCCTACAAATTTATTAACATTACATTCAGTTGAATTTTCTTGTGGATAATTAACAGGAAACAATATGAAAAGAGAAATTCACAAGAAAAATTAACCAGTGTGTCAATATTCAAATGGTTATTACGACGATGATATTACAAAGAAAAAAAAAAAAGCTTTTCTCATAATTCCAACAGAAAATGATATTACAAAAGATTAAATTTATTTTCTTATTTCAATAATCCCAACAGAGAAGATAACCATCATTATTTTGAATTCAAGAAAAAATATAATTCCGATAGAAAACTCAAATTATTCTCATCTCAAAAACAAATCAAGAATCATTCACATTTCGCATACTAAATTCATCAAACCCAAAATAAAAGACAATCATTACATTTTCAGAGCCTTCTCATTATCTTGCATTTTTCAACATGTATGGAACAGACACCATTCAAGGGACGTCAATTGATAATGAAAAAAAATAAAATAATAAAGTTTTGAATATGAAAATTGATGTTAAGTAACTAATTGCATATAATATCAATGTCAACAGATTTATAGATTAGACTTTAAACTTAAAAATATGGTCTTTGATGTGAAAACTTAATTTAAAAAAAAAAAAACCTATACAATAAAAATCTATTACTGTATTAAAAAAAAAAAAAACTATACAATAAAAATCTATTACTGTGAAAGTATGAATTAGATGTATATAATTAAATCAGGGATATTAAGATTTTTTTTAAAAAAATTTTAAAAAAATGATACATAAACTATGCATGGACTGTGTGAAGGGGTTTAGGAAATGGTTACACATTTTTATTTAGGACCTCATAAGTAACTAATAAGATTTTGGCATAATAATTGCATGTGAAAATTAGATTTGAATTATTTTAGTAACATTTATATTAAATTACATATATGTTAAATGCTTCATTAATGAAATAAAATAACATAATTGTGCCAAACCTAACTTCCACATTAATAATAATTAAGGTGTCATACAGCCATAGTATGTATATTCATTTGGACCCTACCCTACCCTACCCTATGTAATTGCCCAACTCTATTTGGGCTATTTTCAATTAATAAGACCTTGAAATTGAATAATAACAATCAAGATTTAAGAAAGTAAATTGGAAAAAGAGAAGAAAAAAGAGTGGATACCAACGAGATCAAGTCCAATTTTTGCCATTCTCAAGATTTTATTGAAGGAAGAATAAAATTAGGATAGTAGATTCTTTGAAGAGATCTCAACTCATGAACGATTTAGGGTTAACTATTTCACATAAATACATCATGTTTCAATTACATTTAAAAAATTTAATCTTTACTTAGTGTCACACTTATGTTTTCAATTTTTGTTCATGTATCTTTCTCATCAACCTTTCATTAATGAGTATGTATTATCGATTTTTCGTTTGAAAAATTTATTAACGTACTTAAAAATAAGTAGCAAATGTTTAATTGCAATTTGGTTGTTTATTTATTTTCCTTATTTAAAAATACAAGCGAAAATAAGTTCTTACGTCCTTTTAGTAGAATTTTTTGATAGAAGCCATCAAGAATGACAATATGTGCTTATTAATGAAATTTTGAGGATAAAAATGCGTTGAAAAATGTCAAAGACATAGTATGACAATGAGGTAAGATAAGAAACCTTTAGTGCTATTGAAATAAGAAATGGTGGTGTCGAAACTGATTAAAATATAGTCGAGCATTGAATTCATGGTTTGCGTAAGCGCTTCATATGGAGTATTAGACTGCTTTTTACTGTACGAAGACACAAGACTTGAGTTTCTTTTTATTTCAATACTACTTAGTACAATTCAATGAACAAAACTACACATACAAATACAGAAAACCTACAAATACTTACAAGGAGGGTGGGTGGGTAATTTTTTTCTTTTCTTTTTATTGCGTGGGACCCGCCCTCATGTGAGAGGGTGTAAGTATTCTTTAAAGTGAATAGTTTTGTACAAATGGGATTCAATTCCTCATGCCAAACACGTAGTTAGTCCACGTGTTACAATATATATCCATTATTTTTTAGAAAATATATACGAAGTCGTGTTTGGTAGAGATTAAAATTGAATTAAAATTGAAAAACTAGCCGTTATTGTTGACTTTTGTTAGATAAGTAGGACCCAATAAAGACTATATTTTCAATTTTAATTGAATTTTAAGATTAGCCAAACATGTTATATTAAAGATATCGATACATACATACATAAGAGTCATAGCCGACCAAAAAAGAGAGAAGGCTGGACATGTAACATTGTTCTATCAATTTACCAAACGTGCCAAAATTGGTTGAAAAATTGGATTAGTTTGATCTTAGGGGCATTGCAATGTCGTGTAAGAATAGAAGTTCTTCCATGTGGAAACAACCAAGATTTGTTACTATGTCATTTTCACATCAATCCACCTAAGTGCAATTAAAATCTTAATTAATCCTTCTTGTTGTTGACTAAAAATGCAAGCATCAGCTGGCATTATGATTAAATAATCGAGTTTTAACTTTTCGACACTTTAATACAAGACCTATGGAGAACGTTATTAAATTTCAAGTACAAATTCAACGACTCCGTCTTTCTTAGCTTCTCCCGGTCTTGGAAAATTTTGTAGTACGGTGTTCTTTTCTATTTACTAGTTGACAATTAGAAAATGAGATAAGATAAAGTGTGAGTATCGTAGATAGAGCTGTAAATAGATCGGATATGGATTGAATATCCAATCCAATTCAATCCGATAAGAATAATTTATGAATCTGATCCGCCCCGATGATTCAACAGATATTTGATTGTTAAATATATATCCGATTAGTAGGTGACTTAGATTGTAATTAATTTAGAAAAGAGATTACCTATTCCCATAATTCAATTAGATGCAAAATCTAGTAAGTCTATTTTCAAGGTTGTAGAAAAGGTGTTTATTTTCTTCTTTTGTTTTAATGCAATAAATCCGTACTGATTGTATCATTTCCGATTTGATCATAGTCTCGGAGTTCAAAGAATACTGAATATAAGACAGCATCCGTTGATCAAGATAGTCTTGTCCCACAGTTGAACTTTATTAAATTACATAATTCAATGTGATACCATAATAGATAAATGGATTTTGCTACATATACTTTAATATTTACATATATAATGTCACGTGACACTCTATTATTTATCGGTTTAAAATACAATGAACTTTGTCATTCAATCTTTTTCTTCCACATATGTACATTTTTTATGTACAAGTTACAAAATCCTAAATAAATTTCACGAGGTTAATTTTCATAGCCTAATTAAAAAAATAAAAATTAACATGTACGATGCCAACATGTAATCAAGTTGAATAATGATATTTATCATCATGATGATGAAACATCAGTAATGTGGCAGTCTACGTGGAATAATGAGATTGTGCATTTTAATTTTTATGAGAGAGGAGGAGGAGGGAGAGAAAAATGTATAGATAATGAGTTTTCAAGTCACCGATGTTCCATCATTATGATAATAAACAATATTACACAATCAAGTTAATAATGTAAGTCCCCGTTTTCCTTGTTTGGTATGGCTTAAATTTGATAAAAACTTAAACTAATATTTAATTTTAACCATATTCCATTAACTTTTATTGAAATCTACTAAAAACTTGATTTTTATCTAAACCAAATAATGGCTAAATACAAATACAAATAAATAAGTTTTATGTCCAGTACTAATATTGAGCCTTGGCTATGGTTAAATAACTTACTTGTAACTTATAATTTTTTTTCTAGACGATTTTAAGTAAATTATTTTCACATTAAGATGAGAATTACTTGTAAAAAGTAATTTTTTTAAGGTTAACACACACTAAGGGAAAAAAGTTAAGCATTTACCAACTAGAAAAATTAATCTTTTTTTCCTTTGTAAAAGCAGTTATTTCTATTTTCATTGTTATAATTATTAACTGTGGCTGTGGCATAACCAATAATCCTTATATAACAGAAACTAAACATTGTTGGAAGATTCATCGTTCTATTTTCATTATTATAATCCTACGCTTCAATATATATACACATTAAACAACATAGAGAAAGAGAGAGAGAGAGATGAAGAGATGGAGAGGGTTGTGCTTGTTTATGGTATTGATACTTGTGATGAGAGGAGAAGGGCAATTAGTGGAGAACTTTTACAGTTCAACTTGTCCAAACGTAGAAGCCATTGTTCGGGAGGCTGTGGCTAGAAAGTTAAACCAAACATTCGTTACAGTTCCAGCCACGCTTCGTCTCTTTTTCCACGATTGTTTTGTTGAGGTACGTTATTCTCGACCAAGAAAGAAAAAAAGAATTTTTTTTATACTAGTGTGTATCAAACATGCTCTTCATGTCCTAAACCGTGTAAATACCAGATGACAAAGTGCATGAACTGCAAGTTAGTCATGTAGAATTGATGACAATTTTAATGATGATTTTGCTCACAATTGAGAAATTAGAAAGGTAGATTTCTATCTGATGTTACAGTAAGAGAAATTAGTTGACGCGTGTTACCTGTAAAGAGTCGATTCAATGGATCATTAATTGCTCCATCTGTTCTTGTTTGTAGGGATGTGATGCCTCTGTTCTTATAGCTTCACCAAATAATGATGCTGAAAAGGATGCTCCAGATAATCTTTCCCTGGCAGGAGATGGCTTTGATACTGTGGTGAAGGCTAAACAAGCAGTTGAGGCGCAGTGCCCTGGGGTAGTTTCATGTGCGGACATTTTAACCATTGCTGCTCGAGATGTGGTCGTTTTGGTAATCAAACTATGTCCTTCATCATTGTCTTGATAAATATTTTCTTTAATTCATACTCTCTTCATGTTCTCTGTTCCGTGTTTTGCAAATTTGTTCAGGCGGGAGGCTTTCCATTTGCCGTTGAATTGGGAAGGCGGGATGGACTTGTCTCTCAAGCATCTCGAGTAGCTGGTAACTTACCAGAGCCAAACTTCGATCTCAACAGCCTCAATGCCATGTTTGCCAAACACAATCTATCGCAACTTGATATGATTGCACTGTCAGGAGCTCATACTATTGGCTTTTCCCACTGCAATCGTTTTGCAAACCGCGTTTACTCATTTTCACCATCGTCCCCTGTTGACCCTACCTTGGATCCAAACTATGCGCAGCAGTTGATGCTATCCTGCCCACATAATGTGGATCCGTTTATAGCTATAAACATGGATCCTGTTACTCCGCAAACTTTTGACAACAGCTACTTCCAGAATCTGGTCCGAGGGAAGGGCTTGTTCACTTCAGATCAGGTTTTGTTCACCGAGCCAGCATCCCAACCTACAGTAAACGATTTTGCGAGTAGCCCATCTGTCTTCAATGGAGCTTTTATCACTGCAATGAGGAAGCTTGGGAGGGTAGATGTTAAAACTGGAAATCAAGGAGAAATAAGGTTGGATTGTACAAGATTCAATTCATAAATCAAATTTCACATAAAATTAAAAACATGAGACCCATGTAATGACTGGACCATAATACATAAATTGTGTACAGGTTTCCACTTGGTGCAGACAATCTGTGTTCTGGTTTTTTATAATTCACTTTCAAATAAAAGAATCAGAGTCGAAAATAGTGCTGCTTATGTAAAATTCATAATCGTGGAATACTTATAAATAAAGAAGTTCTCTCTCTTTCTAAAAGTTTTAAGACAGTTGTTTGACGTGATATCTTATCATGTATACACTTCTGTACTATGTGAAGTTCGGGTAATTTAAAGCTAAATGCCAAAAAGCTGGTTACAGATTGTAATAAAGTACTACTAATCCGACAGGAAGAAAAATCTTGTGAACCACAATATAGGACATGATAATGAAAAACATCTGAAACTACGAAATGAAACCTCTGATAAAAACAAGAATAACAATAGAATTATACAGCAAACTGGCCTTTGGAATCAAAATTTCTCCAAAGAATTTCATTGAGTCGAAGAATAGAAATATAGACAACAATTGAACACTATACAAATCTCACTCAACCACCAGATGGTTCCCAACTGTAAAACATAAAACTGTAGATAGTAGATGAAGGTATGCAACAAGCAAAAGTCATGATAAAGGGGTCCCAGTCACAACATTACAATATATGTAGAAGTGGTATACTACGATATGTAACCCCTATTGTCTCTCTAGCTGAAAGACGTACTCTTACATTGTTCTCTCCCACAAATACTTTTAGGAACACGAATAGTCAACGAAAATCCTTAGGAATCTTGGATCTCTCCCATACTTTAACTTGTAAAGGCAAAAGTTATGTTTGAGATCTTCCATAGAGGTTTACATAGACAATCTTTGTCCGATACACAAGAATCATGCTTAAAACAACGGCAACAATGCAAAGTCCAGACATTATCAATGAAGTCAAGAAGTAGCAAATGGCACCTTCACACTTCAGAGGCTCTTCCATAAAGACAAAACTTGATAAAATAGATTCCATACTATGTTGTCTGTGATGGAGGCCGTGAGCTTGCTTCTCTGCCTCTCTGTCGTATATGCTGCTGGCGATGAGACCTGAGAATATTAAGGAACCTGCGGGGTTCGCCAGAGTGAGAAAATTGTACAAAGCTCCAAATTTTTTCAGCCCAAATAACTCTGATGCAGCAGCTGGCACTATCGCCCAATGGGCCCCATAGCCGAGCCCAACTAGAAGAGTTCCAATGTACATTGCACCAGGCCAACCCATAGCAAAGAAGAAATGTCCGACTGCCATTATGGCTTGTGCAACAGCCATGGCCACTGACCTTGGATATGCATGTTCTCTGTTTAGCCGTAAAACAATTGTGTGAGAAAGTATTCAAGATGAAGAATAAAATAATGGCATGTGTGTTAAGGTAGCTTAGACAGTATTCAACAATTTTATGGAAGAACAAGATGCATGATTGCATTGCTTAACTTTTTTTTAAAGCTCGTCATACATTTTTTATCTGCATATTTCAGATGACCAACAACTTATTACACTTATTTATTATTCACACATTCGATAGGACCCACTGCTTATAAGCACTTAAAAACAATATCAAAAAAGAAGTATATCTTGTCTATTGTAATGTCCAACACGGTCTAATGCTACGTACAAAACACAGATGAAAAGTATGTCTGGGAAGAGGAGGCTCGAAATTTACCTGACAATTTTCTCAGAGAAGTAACCGCCACCAATGCGGCCCAAGAAGTTCCAAATGCTAATCATGGAAACAAACACTTGGGTATTATCGTACCCCAGTGACTGGCTCATCTGACCCATATTATCAATCACAGTCAAACCAGAACCAGAACCTAAAAGAAGGGAGAAAAACATAAGCCAAAAATCTGCCTTTATCAATGCTTCCATCAAGGTAAAGTCCTCCCCTCTACGCGGCCTTCGCTTCTTAATTCTTACGGCTCCTTCTGCAGCTGCTTGAGCTAGTCTTGCTTGCAAATGAGCAATTCTTTTTTGCCTCTCCGAAGCCGGAAGCAAGTCTACGTCATTTGGCTTTTCATCTTCAAACTCGCTGAATATGATTTCCTGAGTGTGGTCTATGGATTTTCTCGGCTCTTGTTTCTGTGAATTGGTTAGAAGTGCCTCTTCTGCTGGTACTCTCAACTCATCAGAAAAACTCTGTTTGATGGGAATCGCAATGGGGATGAACAATAGAAAAAATAAAATTGCTGTGAAGGTTATAACAACTGTGTGGCTCAAATCAACTAGATCTTGGACAATCATGACGCCCAGCAAATAAGCAGCCAAAAGAAGGCATATGCTATAGATAATCGAGAAACTAAGGCCATCTGATGATCGGACTTGTTTGTGACCTCCAACAGGCCGGACAATGAACATTAGAGCAATGACAACTATTGTTGGCCCAACTGCAACCATAAATATGAGTGAAGAATGGTCCGGGGAATGCATCACAGTGTATATCTGAGTCAAAATTGCCCCAGCCAACCCTGCAAAACCCTTTAGTATCCCCACAACAGGACCCCGGCTTTTGGGGAAGTTTTGCACACAAGAGACAAGTGCTGCAGTGTTGAAGTATGTTTCGCCATTTGTTCCCAAAAATATAAGAATGCACATCTGCACGTGAATGGATAAAGTGTCAAATGGAAGACAACTACAAAATTTTATAATTCACTTGCAAAAGGCTCAAAATGTCAAATCTATAATAATCGTCTCAAAACTGAGAAAGCCTCATCTTCTATTCCAGATTCTATAGTCGTACATGTTTTAATTTATATGATAAATTGCGGACATTTGTGTTACGGATTAAGATTAATCCCTTCTTTCTAGATCAATAACGAACAAAAAATCAATTAGAAAACGAGAAAAAAAGCAACCTAGAATATTATGATGAGGTTCCAAGGTCCAAAAATTTGTCTATGGCTTCTGTTTTGGTCCAACTAATAGAACATTTGAATAAGTTGAACATGGTTCTCAGGTGTATTACTGGATGCACAAGAAAGACATTGAAAGCATTTTAATGACAGTTACAGATTTTGAAGGATAACCTTAGCAGATAAGCACAAAATGTCATCAATTTGGTGTTAAATATAAAACGCAGCAGAACTTTCTCCTTACTTTTCAAGAAAAAGGAAAGAAAAATAAAAATAAAGTGAACTTTCTTCTTCATTTAAACGAGTCTTATTACAGTAAAAACACCGAATTTGACATACAAAATGACTAATTGAGCCCTGAAGATAATACTCGAATTAGGGGAAACATAAATCTGCCAGACACCTTCAGACAGTAACTCAATATTCATCCTAATATTCTGAGGCTTTGGAAAGCAAAAGAGTCCTAAAGTTTAATCTCTGAAACTCGGAAAGAAACAGGTCAAACATGATCTCTTTTGACATATTCTTTGGTCAGGAATGAATCAAAGCTAGAAAGGTTCAGAATATGAATAGAAACTTGGGGACTTGGGGACATATATGAAATTTCCATATTTGAAGTTCTCGGAACGAATTAAAAGTTAAAACAAGTTGGAGTTAACTAAAATTAGATCTGATTAACTAATTTCCTCGAAAAAGAAGGGGCATAAAAGCCATAAAACTATGATATATGCATGAATGAGAACCAAGGAAAAATGCCTCCATATTCTACTCCTTAGAGCATGTTGGGCTAAGAAGAATTTTTTTTTTCTTATAAGTTCTTCATCTTGACAGTAAAAAGAGTTAATTTCATAAGTAAGAAAATAAAATTATTCATAGAAGTTTAAGCTTAGCCAACATTCTAATTCAAATCAATAGAAGAAAGACAACTCCAGGAAAAGATCGAAATAAAAATAAAATAAATCAAAGGGCAATAAATAACTCAATTTGCTTCAAATCAATCCAAAAGAAACCATGGACGAGATCAAAATTGAAGAAAATTAAATTGTTCAACTGGATACTCACTGCCCACAGTGGCAAAACCGGTGCTCGACCGGTGACAATAAGCCAGACCCAGCCATATCCAACAAAGTTCTGAATAGCACCAATAAGAAGAGCAGCCCATAAAGGCAAAATCTCAGATAAACTTGCAGCCAAGAAACCAACACTATCCCCCAAATCCTTAGCCACTCCCAGTCTTGCAATCTGTTTCTGATTATAGTTTAAAGAACTTTTTATTGGGGGTGAAATGCTACCAAATAAATACCCAATTCCAGCACCGGATTGTATCCAAATTGCAGCAACAAAAACCAGCCATCTGTTGTTGAAAAATGAAGAGATTCTCTCCATCAAACCAGCCATCGTTAATTCACCAACTCTCCAGTCGATCTAGCAATCAGGATACAAGAATTACCGTAAAAGGCCTAAATTTATTGGCTATTTTGATTTGTAATGGATTTTTGTTGACCTTCCTTGAAGGGCAATACTGATTGATAGAATAAAACAGTGGCTAGAAGTGGGAAAATACCTAGGCAAAATCCATTTGTGCAATCACGAGTGGATTGTAACTTTTACAATATGTCACGTTACGGTGGCTGGCCCCTGGCCGACTGGCCCCACCCTAATGGGAGAGATGTCCACCACTCTAATGTGTGAGATTATAAATGATTATACACCAAGCTTCGTTGAAATACGTATTAATCCATATGTTGGAGATAATAATTTGTGCCTGAATCATGCAGAAGCTTTCTTTTTCATGGGGGCACAGCCATATTCCACTTATTGGTAGACAAATAGGTTGTTTTATGTTGGGATAATTGCAGCAGCGGTCCCAAACCTTTTAATTTTTTACGGATTATACTTTAACCTTTTATTTTGGCAGCTGCAGTCCCAAACTTTTCACTTTATTGGCAGTTGGAGTCCATTGAATAGATTCCATCCAATACTCCGTTAGTCAACCTGAAATAAAATGTTTAAATGAGGGGTAAAATGGTAGATTTATAATTTTTATAATTGGATACTCACTGCCAATGGTGGCAAAATCGGTGCTCGACCGATGATAATAAGCCAGACCCAGCCAT